GGGCACCTTCGGATGCTGTTTCCGTCCGCAGTGCTTTCTGCCCACGGTTAAGCCCACGGAAACCCCAAGCGCACCACCCTCTGCTGGCGTGCGGGGCACATGGCAACGGGGAAACCGCAGAGGGGACACGCCCGTGCCGCACACCAAAACCTTTAAAAGTGTTTTATCTGGAACAACGCTGACACGCTCAGGATTAAGTATCTTACTGTCCCACCTCGCTGACTCACACAGCAACAGGAGGGCCGGCTCCCCGCCCCCCCCCCCCCGCCCCCCGGGAGGCACGAAGCCTGCCCTGTTTCCTGGGTGCCGACCACTGGCGTCCGGCAGCGCACCTGTGCCAGAGGCTGGGGAGAGCAGAGAAGGGCAACAGAGGACAAAACATTTTGCAATTTGTTAAGATACCCACGCTAACCCTCCCACCCTCTGAGCAAGAAGGCGGCTTGCGGAGTGGAAGCGGGCCAGGAGGGGAGGCGGCCGCTGTCCGGGGCAGGTCAGCTCAGGTCTGTTCGGCTCTGCCCGCTTGGGTGGCAGGTGGCGGCGAGCACGGCGCTGCCCACACCTGCCTGCCACTTGCTCCTTGGGGTGACATGGCCATCCCCATCTGCCCCCCACTTGTCTCAGGCGTGCTGGGTCACACCAGCTTGGGCTGCACAGTCTGCCCCTTCGCCCACTGCTCGTGCACAACTGGGTATGTGCCAGGCACCCAGCAGCCCGCCCCCCAAGCCCTGAGAGCCCTCCGCCAAGGCTCGGGGCTGCTTGCCTCTGCCTCTGCCTCTGCCTCTCCCCCGCCCGCCCCCCACCTGGCACAGCCACCCCTCCGCTGAAGGAAACACAGCTGAGCTAATTCTGGGCTCCCTGCCACCCGCACAAGCCCACGCCGCACATGTCCTGACTCATTTCTGAGGCGCCAGAAGCAGGGCCCAGGGGAAAGCTGCAAGGCACCCACCGGCACCCTACGAAGCGCCCAGGGCCCGAGGTCCTCGCCTCAGCGGAGCCTGGGGCAGATCTGCGGCCTCTCGCCACCTCGGCCGAAGCACGCTGGGAGGAGATGAGCCCACGCTGCAAACTCCATGCGTTTCTTGAGACATCCAGCCATACACTCGCAGCACACAATCAGGGAGCTAAAATCTGGAGTTAAAAATGAAATCGGTATCACTCTTTCCCACCGAGACCCATTCTGTCATGTGGGAAATTCTCACCCTACTGCCAAGTTCTCACACATAAGAGGCATTAGATCAGAAAAGAAGGGAGAATATTTGTATCTAAAAGCTCAACTCAACCAGATTCAATAGCCGTTTACTGAACACCTATTATCTGTTACTAGAGGCCCGATGCACGAAATTCGTGCAAGAGAAGGCCTTCCTCCCCCAGCTGCCGGCACTGGCTTCCCTCTGGCACCCGGGACCCGGGCTTCCCTGCAGCCCAGGCTTTGTCCGGAAGGTCGTCCGGTATAATTAGCATATTACGCTTTTATTAGTCTAGATTCCTCTGCACCCTCCAGAAATCTCAGTGGGGGTGTGGGAGGCACTGTCACCGTCTCCTTGTGTGGAGTTGTGTGGGTGCCTGAGAGGAAGTGACCAGGAACTGCACTTCTGCCCAGGGGGTGAGGGAGGGAGACAGTGACCTGGGGGCATTGCCGGGCAACCAAGTGGGTGGTGAGGACATAGGGCTGAGGGCTGAGGCCTACGCGTTTGGGATGCTTGCAGAACAGGAAGATCGAGGCTGGAACCTGCGGGCAGTGAGGGGAGGGGCAAGTGTCAGGCGTGGCCCGACACAGAGACACAGGTCAGACTCAGAGGCCTGACCCCTTAGTAACTGAGGAGCACACCTCCCGTCACAGGGCAGGACTGGCCTCCAGGGGGGCACGGAGAGTGTGACCTCCAGGAGCTGAGAGACCCTGACCAAGTAGGAGGTTGGGCGAGTTCCTTTCACGCTCTGAGCCTCGCAACACTGAGTCAGCAGTGAGAGAAGCCTCCCTCGCAGCCCGTTCTGAGGACGACATGGGCTGAGCTGCGTGAGCGCCTGTGGCCTGACATGCCGTGCGTCGGAGGATGGACACCCTGGGGGACTACATGGTTCTGAGCCAGACAGGGTGGGGCCAAACCCCAGCTCAGGGGTTAGAAGCAGCTACTTCACCCTCCGAGCCCCCGCCTCCTCGAGGAGAACGGGAAGAACCTGTGCCTGTTAACAGGCTTGGGAATCAGGCCTCCGTTGCTGCTTTTATTACCGTCATGTCGTTCCCGGAGACACAGGGACCATCGAGGGGCTGGCCCGTGGGCCCAGGTGCCCCGCCCCATCAGGAGCCAGAAACAGTCAGGAAACCCCCCCGGGGAGGAGAGCCCCGGTAACTGTTCTGGGATTCCTCTAAGGGACCTTCCACTTCACCAGCCAGGCCCTCCTCCCGCCTCCTCCAGCGTCACCCAGCCGCCCAACCAGTTCAACAGCAGCCTCTCAACCTCCCACAGCAGGCAGCACCACCGAGCTGGGGCTCCGGGGAGGGCTCCCCTCTCTACATGGGCCTCGCAGCACCTACAGGTGGGTCCCACAGGTATAGACACACACACAAGGCACCTTGGGACACAAGGAGGGGCCCCTGAGCAACCCAGCAGGGTCCTGCCCACCCTCTGCTGCAGACAGCCACCCCCCCAGGCCCATTCCAGGACCCCCCCCCCCATGCAGACAGCCACCCCCCCAGGCCCATTCCAGGACCCCGCCCCACCCCCAGGCCCTCACCCAGCTCCCGAGTCCCCAGGCCCCGGAATCCCCAGCAGGACCAAGCTCCTGTGCAAGGCTAGCAGCAAGGGCAGCCACAGGAGGGCCCAGGAGGAGCCAGAGCAGTCTGTCATGGTGACTCACTTCTGAGCACCGAGAGGCACCTCAAGGGACCCCAGAGTGCGTGGGGCAATAAGGGGGCGGGACATGCCAAAGCCTGTGGCCCTGCCCACGGGGCAGGGATGCTTGAGGATGACCGCCCGGAGCCCTGGGGGTCTGGAGTCCTGCCTGGGTGTGGGCCAACCCGGGAGACAGGGAAGACCCTGTGGGAAACCACCCAGGAGCAGAGGGAGGAGGCCTTCAGCTTCCCCTCGATGACGGACAAGAGCTGTGGGGAGACGGGGTGGGGTGCGCTGGGCCGGTGAAGAGGAGGACTGCTCTGCACAGAGGGCTCCTGGGCCGGGGGAGTGCCGGCCAGGCCTGGGACTGGGCAGGTGGGCAGGCACCGATGGCAGCAGCACTGCTGGGGCTCACGTGATGCATGCAAGTCACACTGAATGCCAACTGGTGACAAGAGGTGAAGGTCCTTCCACAAGGCTTTCTCCGACCCTCAGACTGAAATGAAACACAAGGGCATTCCTTCATAATGTCTGTTACCCAGCACTCAGCCTCCTGGAACCCAAACCCACACCCTGGGCACAGCTCGAATGTTCGAAAGCAAGGCCAAGCCTCCTGTTTGGCGAATGACAAAGCGTGGCCCCTCGGGGCTGGCCAGATTGTTGTCCTCAAAGTCATTGTCAGGCCTCAAACATAGCCCCAAACTTTCAGACAGGGACGGACATCAGGACCTAAACTCCCACGACACTACCCGATCTCAGGGTACACTTAGAAAAACGGGGGGGTCCCTAATTAGCTCATTAGGTTGTAAAAAAGATCTGTGCTATATCCACACAATGGAACACTACTCAGAAATAAGAAGGAATAAACCACTGATACACACAACTACATGGACAGATCACAAAATAAGTACAGGCTGAAAGAAGCCAGAGTGCACACTGTATGACTCCATTTAGACAAAATCCTAGGGAATGTAAACTGAAGAATAGTGACAGAGAGTGACCAGCAGTTGTCTTGTATGGGGCAGGGGAGGGGAGGGATGGAGGGAAGAGATTACCAAGAGCAGGAGGTACTTCTGGGTGATAATATGTTCAGTATCTTGAACGTATTGTTGCTTTCACAGGAGTACACGTATCTCAAAACTTACCTAATTGTTCACTTTAAATGTATGCAGATTATATGCCAATTATAACTCAACAAAACTTTTTAAAAAAGTAATCCATGCTGATTAGAAAAATACGGAAAAATATTAAATCTCCCACAATCATATCACAGCTTACCAGAAATAACATTTTTCTGTTTCCTTCCAACCTTTTCCCTATATGCACACATATAAGTTTATTTTTATAAAACATTTTGGTATTGGGATGGGAGTAGGAAATATAAAAATGTAGAATGGGACTCCTCTTTTAAAAAGGTTTATGTTATACGAACTTTTTTTTCTTTCAAAGTTGTATGTCCTGTGTGTTTTGTTTGACTTGGATGCCGATCCTTCATACACACGGAGAATAGAGGGTGGGACGGCAGCTCCCAGGGGAGGGGTGAGCGGCCAGGAGGGGGAGGATCCCCGAGGCAAAGCCTGCCTGGAGGGGCAGGGTGTCTATTGCCCCTGGGGAAGCCTGTCCGGTGTCAGCACCCCTCCTGTGGCTCAGTCCACCCTAACCTTCTCTTTCTCTGAATCGAGCCTAAATGACCGCATCTGGCTCCTATTACCTGATCAATCAAAACTCACTGAAAACACAAAGACCAGCCCATTCTCCCAACATGTCCCGTCTTCACTTTGGCCCCTGGCCCTATCTCTCGTCTCCTTCTCTGCCTCCAGCTCCGGCCACCATCCTTCCTGCTTCCTCATTTAGCTTTGATCACGAAGTTCCCTTGTGACTGAGCATCCTTCCTTCACAAATGCTCTCAAGGGCTAGACCGAATTCCGGCGGATGAATGACTCATTCCCCATCACTGTGCGTTCAAACCGCTTCCAAATTCCCACCTTTATAAATAACATTGTGATGAACATCCTTGCACAGAACTCTCTGGACTGCAGGTTTAACTGTTCCCTTGGGGGAAATTCCTAAACGTGGAAGCACCATGATAAAGAGATGAGTTCTTTTAAGGATTTGGGGACATTTTGCCAAACTGCTTGGCAGAAGGCTGCCTTCCACTCCCGAGGGCATAGGAGCGTCCGTGCGCCCTCCCACTTGCACTGAGTGCCATCACCCCCCAACAATACCCGAGAGCAAGGACAGTGTCTCCTCTGAAGCGCACCTGTTTGCTGCCATACGACGGACTTTCTCACACTCACTGCCACTGTTCCTCCTGTGAGACCTAATGCACACCCTTCACTCACCCTCCTACTGGGAGTTCCCTTATAACAAGTTCTTCATATCAATTTTCAGAGTTCTTTAGGCGAGAGGGGATTTGTCATAAAGGCTGCGGGCATTTTTTCACATTTGATCAGGGGACTGTTGATTGTGTTTGGGGTTTTCTTTTGCATACTAAAGGTCGTATTCCCCCTGATGAATTATCAAAACATTTTTGGCCTTGTGGCTTCTGCCTCCAGTATCATGTTTCTCATCCCACCGTATCTTAAATCCTTACCTAAAGTGAATTTAATGATTTACTTTTTGCATTTAAAATGTTAATGCACATGAAATATATTTTGAGGTTTGATATTGAGAAACCTGATGGTTTCCCAAGTGGCTAAATATTAACTAAATCTACTCACTTCTGTTTTCCAGACTTTCTTTTCTTTTCTTTTTTTAATATATATTTTTATTGATTTCAGAGAGGAAGGAAGAGAGAGAGAAAGATAGAAATATCGATGATGAGAGAATCATTGATTGGCTGCCTCCTTCATGCCCCCCACTGGGATGGAGCCTGAAACCTGGGCATGTGCCCTCAACTGGAATTGAACCCAGGACCCTTCAGTCCGCAGGCCAACGCTCTATCCACTGTGCCAAACCAGCCAGGGCTTCCAGATTTTCTAGTCTGTTCCATGGATAGGCTTTCTACTCCCACCCCAATACCAAAATGTTTATATTATTACTAGAGGCCCAGTGCACAAAATTTGTGCACTGGGGGGTGGGGGACCCCTCAGCCCAGCCCGCACCCTCTCCCAGTCTGGGACCCCTTGGCAGACATTCCTCTCACAATCCGGGATCCCTAACTCCTTACTACCCGCCTGCTCACTGCTCCTTACCACTAGGCTCGCTGCTCCTTAGCGCTGCTGCGGAGGCGGGAGAGGCTCCTGCCACCCCTGCTGCACTCTCCAGCCATGAGCCTGGCTTCTGGCACTGACCACCAGGGGGTAGCTCCTGCGTTGAGCGTCTGCCTCCTGGTGGTCAGTGCGCATCATAGCAACCGGTCATTCTGGTCATTCTGCTGTAACGGTCGCTTAGGCTTTTATTATATAGATAGATTTATGGTATGTTTTCACATCTGATAGGTTATCCACCCAGATTCTGGTGGGCGATGGCATTAAATCCATAAATTAATTTGGGAATGACCTAAATATTTAAAATATTGACCCCTCCCATCCATCCAGGAACATGCAGAATCTCTCCATTCATACACGCTCTTACGTGCCAGTGCTCTCCACACAGTTCCTGCGAGCACCTTCCCGGTCCCAGCTCTGGTTCTCCCCTGAGCGAACAGCTTCCGCATCACACATCACACTTCTTGCCTTTCTTACGGGCAGAGAGGCGGCACTGCACACACCTCGGCGTGTAGGCACTGTCTCTGCACCCTCCCCCCCCTCCCCCCGAGCACGGCTGGTTTCAGGGCCTTCATGAGCGGTCACCCCTCCGGGCCTCCAGGGCCCTGGCCACTGAGAGGTGCCGTTACTTCCCCCAGGATGCAGGGCCTCCCCATTCCTCTGAAACGCCTCTGCCCTCGAAAGCCCTCCTCACGGTCAACGTCCTGTCCACCAGACATGGCCCGTCCTACGCAGGCCCGGCCGTCCTCCATGGAGATGCCTCTCTCTGCGCTTCCTGCCTGTCGCAATGACGCACACTCTTCTAGACCCACTCACATGCTACTCCATCAAACAAATTCATTATCCCGCGGGGTGTGCCTTTTGCGGAGTGGCCCTGATCTTAGTCTAATTATGGTAAGAGCTGCTCACACGTCTGTGCCCTCTCAGGTGACTGGGAGGCCAGCCCACACCTAGGCCTCGCTGCCTCCAGTCACAGGGCAGCGCTCAGGCTGCAGCAAGAGCGTTTTAACCACCTGGATGGAGGGACTGGGAACGCGCACCACGGATGCGCGGAGTGAGTCCCTGCTCACTCCCGAGCCAGGAGGCCAGGAGGAAGACGTACTCAGAAGGCGCCGAGGACAAAGGAGTGACTGTGCCTCTTCGGAGCGGATGGGTGCGAGCCAGCCCAGCCCTGCACCCTTGGAATCTCCCCAGACAAGGTCCTGGCTCCTCCCGCCCGCAGGAAGGTGGGAGCCCCGGTCTTAGAAACCAAAACTGGCCCAGACACACTCAGGTGAAGGCCAAGCTGTCAGCCCCGGCCACACAGCAGAGTGGCCTGCAAAGCTTGTTAAACACAAACTCCAGTCCCGTCCAAACCTCCTGAGTCAGCCGGGGAGGTGAGGCCAGGCAGCTGCAGAGGTGCACCCGGCCAAGGCAGGGCCCAGGGAAGCCACCTCCACCTTCTGGCCTTCCCTGGATAAGGAATGTGGGCAAGCAAAGAAGAAGGAAACCGACATCTGACAATGGCTAGAGGCCAAGCACTGGACTGGGAAAGCACCTGACACAGAGTCTAATCCCCTCTGCCAACCGGGATGAGTTACTGCTCCGACTCAGAGAAGTGGAACATTCCCAGGTGTGTGAGTCTCATCACCAGTGACCAGGCTGGGACTAGGACCCAAAACAAAGGAAAGCAAAAACTAACACCCATATTTGAGAACGCCAGCCTTAGCTGGTTTAGCTAAGCCTGAAGGTCCTCACATTTCCAGCATGTGCCTCTCAGGGGGGCCTGAGCCCGAGGCACCCCGAGACTGGTCCTGAGCCTGCCTCACTGAGCGGGCGCTGCGCAAGCTGCAGTCTTCTCAGGTGCCCCGCTTCTCCTTCAGCCCCACGCGCCCGGGCACTGCCAAGCCACGCCAGCGAGGGCCCCCCCCCTCCCCCCGCCATTGACCGCCTCTGTGACTGCTCAGGCCGTTCCACAGGCCAGGAGGACCCTGTCACACTCCCAGCCAGGGCCAGTGCGTAACTTTCTTGGGCTCTGTGCACTTCTGCCTTCATGGGCCCCTCCTTCTATTAAAAATAAAAAGTATATTTTACAACTGCATCGGTACAAAGATGAACATATTTTTATATACTAAGATACTTTCTCTGACCTTAAGTTCATGTCTCCCTTCTCATTTTAAAGTAAATTAAGACATGTTTGTGGATCCCTGAAACTATTATGGACCCTCGGCATTGTGCCTCCCCTGCTGGGGGACAATTGGCCCTGCCCTCGGCCCCGCCCCTCGTGGTCCCCAGAACACTCCCCATGGAAGACCCAGCCCAAGTACAGCCAGTACCTCTATGACCCGGATCCCCCAGCCCTGCCCCAGTGGGACCTGCTGCCCTGACTGCCACACTCCCTGCACTATGATGATGTGTCTACAGCTACTGCTTAGCTGTGAGTTCCACAGGGGCCTCGGTTCTGTG